CACGCACCGAGAGAAACAATCCCAAGGACCATCAGGGAAGGAAAAAGGCCATTACATTTAAACTAATCAATCTCCTTCCATGCGGAGTCAAGGTCACGTGGTGTGGTCAGGCTCTCGGGGGGGGGGGGTAGAGAAGGAGGAAGCGAGGGGTTAGAGAAGAGGAGGAAAGAGGGAGTCGAGAAGGAGGGGGACAGGGTTTAGAAAGGTTTAGAGGAAGAGGGAGGAGGAGAGAGGGTTTCTGATCACCTTTCCGGCCGGACCTTTTATGGCTCCCTTACGCCGACCCCCAACGCCCACTCTCACCCCCTACCTCCCTCCCCCCTTCCCAGTATGTGGGCGAGGGCGCAGGAAGAGAGGAAGGGAAAAGGGAAGCAGGAAGCCATGTTATTCCCCCGAAAGCTCGACCATCGTGCAATAAAAGTGGTTTACGGCATGGATGACAACGTTAGGTTATGCTTATGTGACTTATCGTTCTAATTTATAGCGCTGTTGGCGTTTTTATGCTCTCCTTTTCGGGTTATCGCCACTCGTCAATATCAAAGCTATATGGTCATTATCCAATGATCATTATCCCTTGGCCATTAGCTTCGTAATAAGGAATTTTATGCGAAAAAGGGTAAAAGCCACGGTTTCGTTAATGGTCAGGTGATGTTTAACTTGCGCTTCAGCATAAGAAAAGGGGATTCGACACAGAAATTACCGTGTGAATGTTTTATATGATAATGCGATGGAATTATGCTAAGGTCACGTAACACATGTACGGGCTACGTGGTCAAAGTCACCGCGAATAAAGTTTTTTCTTTTATTTTCCTTTTTCTTTCTTTCGTTTCTTTTTTTGGCAAAATTACCAACACACGCACGTTAACATCAATAGAGCGTCCTACTATCTTGATTAAGAAGATGGACATTACCAATAATGAAATTAAGATAAAAGAAAATACATGAACGAACATACGTGAACGAACGCTATCGATAATTGTTTGAAAAAGGACAAGATTTTGGAAAACGTCGACCTTCGAGATAATCTAAACAGCGGCATTTGATAATTACGCAAGAATGCCGGAAATAAAGCTAACCTCAGGGGGGAAAAACGACCCATTCCATTCACTCCCTGCCGTAAACTTTCGTGAATAACCAAATTAGTTTAAATGCGTGTGTGAGAAATGGGGACAAGAGCGTAATTTTATTTTTCCCGCCACGTTCTTCACTTGTTTTTTCTTTTCATTTCCTTTTTTCTCTTTTCTATTTTGTCGCATTCATTCATAAATCCCAATACCAAATGCCATGAAATTAAATCTTAAAAAGATACTGAAAAGATGTATTTCATTCATTATCACTAGGTTATCATTAACATGTAGATTTCGACATACCAAAAGCATTTCACTCGACTAATCGCCTGTGAAAATAACAACACATTCGCATCCGGCATCGTGTAAAAAAAAAAGTTGGAAGGAAAGTCCATTTGAATATCAGTAAAGGTTAATGGCACAGGTGAGCTGGGCGCGGAAGTAGGGTGTGTACGTATGCATGCGTCAGTATGTGAGTATTTGTGTTTATTTGTGTGTGCGTGTGCTTATGTATAGCTGTACAGTATATTATATATATATATATATATATATATATATATATATATATATATATATATATATATATATATATAATATATATATATGTATATATATATATGTGTATATATATATATATATATGTATATATATATATATATATATATATATATATTATATATATATATATTTATTTATTTATTTAGGTAGATATATGATATAAATGATATATAGACTTTTCTTATTGTCATATGTCTTTAAGTATTTATTTCCTATCTATCTACCTACTTACCTTATCTATCTGTCTATTTATTTATCTATTTGTGAAACTATTTATCACTCTATATATCTTGTTTTCAATTCTATCAATCGTTGTCTATCTCTCTAGCGCTTTTCAAATGGTGCTTAAAAAATACAGGAGCATTGTGAAAGAGAGAGAGAGAGAGAGAGAGAGAGAGAGGAGAGGAGAGAGAGAGAGAGAGAGAGAGAGAGAGAGAGAGAGAGAGAGAGAGAGAGAGAGAGAGAGAGTCATATACTACAACAGACAGGCTTACGTAGATAGAAAAAGCGAACAGAAAAAGAGAGCAGAAAGATACGAAAACAAAACAAAAAACAAAAAACAGACACACGATAACAAGGAAACGAGGGGATGAAAAGCGCATTCAACTGGCGGCAAGTAGTGATCTTTCCCTTGCCCCCCCCCCTACCCCTCTCTCTCCCCTCTCCCCCCCCCAAAAAAAAAAAATCGTCTCACCCAGCGGAGATCAAAATAAGAATTCCATTTCGTTCTATCATTGATCTCTTTACACCCCCCTCCCACCCCACCCCCACCCCCCCAAAGAGGAAGGGAGGTGTTTCTTCAACCCTCTCTTGTTCTTTCTGGAGTTTATGTTTTTTTATCCTTTGTTTTTTTTTATGTTTATATTGTGATTCATGAAACGCCTTTACATTCTTCCTTTTTGCTTGTTTTTTTCTTTCTTTTCCTTATTCTTTCTCGTTCTTACTTCGTGTCTCATCTTCTCTCTTTCTTCCTACCATCCCTCACGTCCTTTTTTACTCTCCTCCTTTCGTTCCCTCCTCCACTCCTCTTCCATTCCCCTCTTTCGTCATTCCCTAACTCTCCTCTCTTACTTCCCTTTCCTCTTCCTTCTTCCTTTTACTCCTCGTCCACCTTCCTCTTCCTCTCCCTTATCTACTCCCTTTTTCTCCTTCCCCCCACCCCCTTTTCCCTTATCTCGCCCTCCTCTCCCCTCTCACTCTCCCTTATCTACCCTATCTCTTCCTTCCTTTCTTGCCCCCCCCGTATTCTCCCCATTCTCTTATTTTCTCCCTCCCTCATTTCCTGCCTCCTCCTTCCCCTCCCCCCATCTCTTTCCTTCTTCCCCATCTCCCTCATTCCTCCTCCCCTTTCCCTCTTTCCCCTCCTCCCCATCTCCCTCATTTCCTCCTCCCCTTTCCCTTCCCTCATTTCTTCCCTCCTCAATTCTTCCTCATTTCCTCCCCCCCTTTCTTCCCCTCCTCTCCCTTCCTCCCCTCCTCTCCCTTTCCTCCCCCTCCCTCCTCCTCATCTTGCTCGTCTCAGTTCCGGTCTGCATTGTACTCCCTCCCACTCAAGGAAGCGTTGGAGGTGCTTGCGTTCAAATATTTATCTCCTTTTAAATGAAAGAATCGTTCCCGCTCGACTTCCTGTGCAGCGCGGGGCGGCGGGCGGCGTGCAGGCGTGTGGGCGTCGGGCGTGGAAATGTTTGTTTGCTTTAGCCCGTTATAACATTCAAAAAGCTGATTGATGTTCGTGGGTGGACGGGCGGGGAGGAGAGGAGAGAGAGAGGGAGGGGAGAGTGAAGGCGGACGATAAGAGGAAGGGAGAGAGGGAGGAGGGAGAAGAGGAAGGAGGAGGGAGGGACGAGAGAGAGAGAGAGAGAGAGAGGAGAGAGAGAGAAGAGAAGAGAAGAGAGAGAGAGAGAGGAGAGAGAGGAGAGAGGAGAGAGAGAGAGAGAGAGAGAGAGAGAGAGAGAGAGAGAGAGAGAGAGAGAGAGAGAGAGGAAGGGCAGAGAAAGAAGACAGGAAAAAAGAGATGAGACATTTATGTGAGACCTTATGTAAGAAGCATACGGTTGACGGATTCTGATGGTATAAACGATAATCATAACGCTTATGATGAAAGAGGTGATCATTATCTTACCTAACTATGTGCCTGTCTATCTATCTACCTCTGTATCTGTCTGTCTATCTATCTATCTCTCTTTCTGTCTATCTATCTTTCTCTCTTTCTGTCTATCTATCTATCTCTCTTTCTGTCTATCTATCTATCTATCTCTATCTCATATCTGTGTATTAATATATCTATCTCTGTATCTTTCTGTTTATCTATCTGTCTATTTATCTATAGCTAGTCAAATTATCTGCATGCATTCACTTGTACAAACAGTTAGCCGTCAATATTGCCTTGATTAATTGATGAACTGGTTAATTAACTTTATATCGCAGGTTCTGAATGTTTCACTGACTTCTTTCACTTCGTTCACTGACCTCAGTGATTTGCTTCATGGCCTTCACTCCCTCATCTCATCCACTTACATAGATTACAAATGTCATTCACATTGTTAATATATTCTTTAATGATTCTCAGATATGATTTATTCAGTAATTTTTTTTTCACTAATTTTGGCCACTGACTTGATTCTTCCACTGAATTACTTATTTTATTTATTTTTTCGTTCGGTGATTTCATTTCCTTCATTCAGCGTCTCAGATCCATTTATTCATTGACTTCAATCCTTCCATCCACTTTGCTCACTTCACTCCCTCCTCTCCCTCCACCTACTCCATTTCCTCTTCTTACTCCCTCCACAAACTCACTCCACCTCTACTTCCTCCACCCACTTCCCTCCACTCCCTCCAACCCCTCACGTCACTCCAGCCACCCACTCCCTCCACTTTCCCCATCCAGTGCCTTTCCTTCCTCCTCTCCCTATCACCCACTTACATCATCCTTACACTCCCTCCACCTACTCCCTTCCCTCCCTACCCCCCACCACTCACTCCACCTCCACGTCCTCCACCCACAACTCCACTCCCTCCAACCCACTCCTTCCACTATCCCCCCAATCCCTTTTCTCCCTCCACCCTTTATCACCCACTTACACCATCCTTCCACTCCCTCCACCTACCCCTTCCCCTCCCTCCCCTCACTCCCCCACCCACTCCCTCCACTATCCCCCACCCAATCCCTTTTTCTCCCACCCTTTATCACCCACTTACACCATCCTTCCACTCCCTCCACCTATTCCCTTCCCTCCCTTCACTCCCCCACCCACTCCCTCCACTATCCCCCCACCCAATCCCTTTCCTCCCTCCACCCTTTATCACCCACTTACATCGTCCCTCCCCATTTCCCCGTTTATTCACCTTCTCCTTCTCTCTTTCTCTCGCAGGTCGGAAGAACGGAGACTTGGAGACCGGATCGCACGCGGCGTATGACAACCCTCACTTCCTTCCCGATGACAGCCTCGGTAAGTGAACGGAGAAATGAGCTCATTTCGTTTCCTTGTTGTAATTTTGGCTTTGTTGTTGTTGTTATTTTGGTTGTTGGTGGAGATTAGGTTTTATTTTTGTTTATTTATTTGTTTATTATTATTTATTTATTTATTTATTTATTTACTTTTTGAGGGGGGGGGGTGGGTGTTGTTGCTGATGTTGTTGGAGAAGGAGGCTATGTTTATGAATACTTTGTTTGGGAAGTGTTGTTGTTGTTAAGATTTTGTTTTAGTGGGAGAGGTTGTTGATGCTATTGTTGATTTGTTGTCGATGTTTAGAGGTACTAATGATGTTGTTTTTATGTTGTTGCTTTGTAATTGTTCTTATTTCGTCTTCCCCTTTTTGTTGTTATTTGTGTTATTATTTTTTCTTTATTTTTCTTTGTTGTTGCTTGTTTTATTTTTGTTTTATTTTTGTTGTTGTTGACGCGTTGTTATTGATGTTATTTCATGTTTTTTTTGTTATTTTCTGTTGTCGTTTTTTTCGTTGTTGTTACTTTGGGTTTAGTTCTTTTTGTTGTTGTGTGTTCTTGTTATTGCTACTGTAAGTGTTCTTGTTGTAAGTGTTACGATAATCATCAGTTACTGTTATTGTAGCAGTTCTTGCTATTGTTGTTATTTTCGTTACTGCTGTCATTATTTTTAATTATATTTTTGATAGATAGCCAAGTAGATATATGTATGTTTATGTGCAAATATCTATTACTTGGTTTTCATTAAGAAATGCCGGACATTTATCAGCAACATTATACATCTGAATGAAATAAAATCAACACAAATTTGAATATCTAGAAGTGTAATGTATGTGCAGACCTTTGCACCCATGGCATTACACTTTCACTTGTAAACACACTGAATACATACGCTTTCATTACCAGTGATACACCCCCCTAAACAAACACACCCATGCACACGCACACGAGCACGCACACCCCCCCACAACGCGCACACGCATACACACACACATACACAAACAAAAAAAAAAATGCAAAGGCAACCAAAGTAATGGCATATGTCACACTTACCCACTACCTGTGCTAGTACCCCTCAGCGTGGCAGCCTAACATATTCCCACCGCCCCCCCCCCCTTCCCTTCATATCCACCTCCCTCCTCCCCCTCTATAACCATCCACCTCCTCTTCCCCTCTCTTCTCCGCCTACCCTCTCCTCCATCAGCCTCTATATCTCCCCATTCTCTTCTCCCTTCTCCTCCTTTCTTCCCCTTTCTCCTCCCTCCTTATCTCCCCCGTACGTTCTCCCTCCTCCATTTCCCCTCCTCTCTCCCTTACCTTCTTCCTCCTCCACTCCCCCTCCTCTCCTTTCCTTCTCTCTCCTCCTCTCCCTCACCCCTCCTCTTTCCCCTCATCGTCCTCCTTCATTCCCCTACCCATCCCCTTCGTCCCTTCCCATACCCCCCTCCTCTCCCCTTACCTTCCCCCCCCCCGCCTCCCCCTCCTCATCCATCCTGCTCTGAGTGGTTACAATATGTCTGCTACAACTTTAATGAGTGGTGTGTGTGTCTCCATCTAATATTTATTCAAAATGCGACGCTTGATGATGTAGGGTCTTGGATACAACATTTAGGATTTATAAGCAAAGCTGGTTGTTTCCTTTCCTTCCTCTTTTACTCTGAAGAAAAAAATAACTCTTTATCTGTGTCTGTGCTTCGTTTTTTTCCCTCAAAACGAGAATTTATCATTGTCATACAACGTCTGTCTGGCGATTGTAAACAAAGTCTGGGTGTCGCGCTACTCCTCCTGTGCTTAGCCAATCAGAAGAGCGCGGAATTTCATTCTCTTGTTCTGATTGGCTGTCAGGTCCATTGATAGGGAGCGGACACGACGTCCGAAAACCTTGTCATGTCAGACACTCGTATTAGGCCGATTAGCCATAACACAGACGAGCGCAACCAATCAGATCCAAGGGTCAGACTGGCGCTGAGTTATGATTGGTTAAGGAGATGGAGGGAGGAGGGAGAGGAGGAGGAGGAGGAGGAGAGGAGGAGGAGGAGGAGGAGGAGGAGGAGGGAAGGAGGAGGAGGAGGAGGAGGAGGAGAGAGGAGGAGAAGGAGAAGGAGAAGGAGAGGAGAGGAGGAGGAGGAGGAGGAGGAGGAAGAAGAAGAAGGAAGAAAGAAGAAGAAGAAGAAGAAAAGAAGAGAAGAGAAGGAGAAGGAGGAGAAGAGGGAGGGTGGGGAGGAGAGGAAGTGTAGGGAAGGAGGAGGAGTATGAAAGGAAGGAGGAGAAGGAGAAGGAGAAGGAGGAGGAGAGGAAAGGAGAGGACAAGGAAGAGGACAAGGAGAAGGAGGGAGGAGGAAAAGGAGGAGGAGGAGGAAGGAGAGGGGGGCGGCAGGAGCGGGTTGCGTGGGGCTGTGAATGAGACGCAGGTGGGGTGGCTGGCGGCATGACCGACCTTGGCGCGGCCAAGATGGGGGGAGGGGGGAGGGGGTCTTCGGAGGGGAGCAGGGAGGGTGGAGGGTTGGGAGCAGCAGGGTAAGGGAGGAGAAGGGAGGGGGAGGGGAGGGCAGAGGTGGAGAGGGTGGGAGTGGGGAAGGGGCACGGATAGGAAGGGTAAGGGGAGGGAGAGGTACCGGCAGGGAGGAAGGAGGGGTAAGGGCAGGCTAGGAGGGGGTATTGGGGGGAGCGGTAGGGGTAGGGAGGTAGAGGAGGAGGGGAAGGCAGGAGTTTTGTGGAAGGCGGCGAGGTGGCAGAGCCTGGGCGGAGGAGCGCTTCGGGAACGGCCGAGGAGGCGGGAAGTCGAAAGGGCTAGGACGGAAATCGTAAAAAAAATCCGATAAGTATATATCGGGCGAAACACGTTGTGAAGGAGAGAGAGGTCCGAGGAGGACGAGAAAGAGGAGGTGGGTGGTTGGAGGTGGAGAGAGGTGGAGGGAGGTAGGGGGGTGGAGGTGGAGGTGAAGTAAGAGGTGAGGAGGAGGGAATAGGAGGGGAGGAGGTTAAGGTGGAGGTGGAGGAGAAGGAGTAGAGGAGGAGGAGAGGTGTGAGGTGGTGGTGGAGGAGGAGGTTGAGGCAAAGTAGAGTGAAAGGGAAGTGGAGGAGGAGGAGGTGGAGGCGAAGTGTAGGTGGAGGTGACGGTGGTGGAGGAAGAAGAACAGGAGGAGGATGAAGAGGAAGAAGAAGAAGAAGAAGAGAATCAGCTGCAGCATGTGCGGAGGTGAGGGAGGGTGGATGGAGGGGGAGGTGACTGCAGGACACGCAACAGGAGTCAGCAGCAAGGGAGATGTGTCACAGAGACTCACGGATTAGGGATTAGGGATTAAGGATTAGGGACAAATAAGGGAACCAAACGAGGCGAGGAAATAGGATGACAAGAGGTTTAATCACACAGATTTAAAGGACTGAAGAGCAGGCGGGCGATTATGGTTATGGCATCTTGACTGACAGCTGGATTCGTATATTATGGCAGCTAATGGCAGAGGAATCATACATCTACGGCAGCTGTGCAATAGAGAATACAGCAACTGAAGTAAAAGCGAGAGCGTGATGTAAACTGATTCGTGTTAAACAATCGCAAAAAATGAATACAACCAAAAATGAGGATGATAATAATGATAATAAAGAAAAGAATAACAGACAGACAGTCCAAGAAAAAGAAAAAAAGAAAAGAAGCGGACAGAAAAACCAAGGAAAGATAAACAAAAATTTGCCAACTCAAAGAGGCTGGAAGAGAGATGAGACAATTAGGATAATTGGGGCGAGAGAGACAAGGAGAGAAAAAAATAACCCAAACAAGAGAACGAGAGGATGGAGATAGAAGAAGGAAGAGGAAGAGAAGGAGGAGGTGGAAGAGAAGGAGGAGGCTAATGAAGTAGCAGAGAAGGAGGAGTAAAAGGATGAAAAAAAGAGCATGAGAAGGTGGAGGTGAAGGAGAAGGGGAAGGATAGAGAAAGAGAGGAATGAGAAAAGAAATAAGAAGGATGTGAGAAAACAGAAAAAAGGGAAGCAGCGGTTGACCTGACCTTGTGCAATTTAGGCCGATTTGAAGGTTAGCGAGAAAAAGAGAGATTAAAAAGAGGAGGAGGAGGAGAAAGAGGAAGAAGAAGGGGTTAAAGGTGGAGAAATCAAGAGGGGCAAAATGGCAAGAGAATGACAGAATAAAAGAAAATGCAAAAAAAAAAAAAAAAATGTAGAAAGAAATGAAAATAGATAGAAAAAAAATAGGTTTAGAGACAGTCAGATAAATAGATATATAAACATGTAGACATTCTGATGGAGAAAAAGACATACACTTATTTATATATATACATGCATAATAGATGCAAATATATATGCATACGTGTGCATGCATTAATATTTGAAAGGAATGATAAGCTTATCGAAGAAATGATATAAACTTAAAATGCAATACTAAAAAGGATGACAAGGAGGAAATGGAGTGCAAAAGGCGAATATAATAAATGAGAGAATGAAGATATACTCGTGTATATATATATATATATATATATATATATATATATATATATATATATATATATATATATATATATATATATATATTATATATATATATATATATATATATATTATATATATATATGTATCTGTGTGTGTATGTGTATATTGTGTATGTGTGTGTGTGTGTGTGTGTGTGTGTGTGTGTGTGTGTGTGTGTGTGTGTGTGTGTGTGTGTGTGTGTGTGTGTGTGTGTGTGTGTGTGTGTGTGTGTGTGTGTGTGGTGTGTGTGTGTGTGTGTGTGTGTTGTGTGTGTGTGCGTGTGTGCATGTGTTGCGTGTATATGTATATATACATGTATATATTATATATATATATATATATATATATATATATATATATATATATATATATATATATATATATATCACACACACACACACACACACACACACACACACACACACACAGGACACACATATATATATATATATATATATATATATATATATATATATTCATATATATATATATATATATTATATTATATATATATATATATATAAT